CGCCGCCGGGCTGGGGCGGGCAGGAGGCGGCGCCCGGGCCCCTGGGAGCTGTAGTTCCTTCTGGGTTTCTAACTTAAACAAACCAAAAAACCCCACAACTTCACTTAAAAACTGCGCGTCTGCCAGAGAGGACTTCTCTCAGACGCACTTTAGGCCCCCTCCGCTCACAGGTATGAAGCACTGACCATTCTTGAGTCCATTCTTGAGAAAAACTGAACCTGCGAGCGCAGGTCTACAGGTTTCCCTCTGCCTGGGCTGTTCCTGCAGTCACCTCTCTCCGGTTTAAAGGCACTCACAATTCACTGCCATTTTAAGACAAACAGAAAGAGGCTCATAACGCTACTGACTCGACTTCCTCCTTGCGAGCCTTTTGGGGCTGCTGGCAGGCAATGCAGCACCCTCAGCGCAGGTGTTCGGCCCTGTACCCCAACAGCCACCGGCCGTGGAACCCGCTCCCTTCCCACCCCTCCCAGATTTACTGAAGACCCTTCCAGCAACAGGGGCAGGCTCGCAGGACCACTGCGCAATGGCGTAAGGCCCTGGGATGGTGCACCACCTCTGACAGACTTTGCGGTGCAGCACTCCTGATAGATGGTATTTCACAACAACAGGAGGGAGGAGGGAAGAGATTTTACCAGCTGGCACTTCATCCTTCTGAAAACAAACATTAACACCTTAGTGCTCACCTTGAGCAGGAGAGCCACCCTCAGAGCATCCATACCCTCCGAATAAAGAAACAGTGTTCTCCCTAAGCACTGATTTAAAACCAGAGCCCCTTCCCCCCAAAAAAAACAGGAAAAAACAGTTTGACAATATATTAAGCAGAAATCTTTACATTGTTATCACGGAAGTGGCTTATCAATGTTCAAAACCCTACGCAAGATATTTGACTACTGCATGTGTGGCAAATGGGGCCAAAGGTGGAAGTAATCTGAATATGACGACACTTTTTAACAGCCCATGAGCTAACACGTCCTCAGGTCATGTTAAAACAAGCTCTTCCTAGTAAATAGACTGAAGCAGGTATGGATCCTTCTCTTCGCACTGATATGCCTGGACAAATCAGGCTTAAACACAAAGTGGCTACACAAACATAAAACTAATGTAAAAGACCTAGGCCAAGCTCAGAAGACCTGTCCAGAACAACGTTCCACCTAGCTAGAAATATATTACAGTTGGCACTCACAAGAGCCAGCCACGTTCTGGGCCTGGGGAATTCCTGTGGCTGTCAATAACAGAACAGATACAGCGACAAGCAAAGGCACAATTACAGAAAGGAAACACAGAAATGAGTAGCTGGGAATTCCCAGAGATCTCAACTATATTTTTTAGCGCATTGCACAGAAGTCATTGCAGATTAAACATGCCATTCTCTGTTCATAATTTGACACATCTCTAGTTGAAAAGAGGCAGATCTGAATAATTTCAGAGAGAATGTACCCATATTAGTTACGGTCAGAATAAAAAGAGTAACCAGCAAGGCCTGAACACGCAACATCTCCCGAGAAAAATCTAGCTCTGGACTCCCTGCTTCATAGCTTAATCTCCTAAATGGTGTGTATTTTGTTTCCACTTCTCCCTGGGCTTCAACATTTCCTGTGTGAGATCTTACAGATGACAGACGTAGTCAACAGTTCAACTAATCAAAACTCCGCTGTACCTGAATTTCGCACCACTTTGAGAACTAAGAGTGAACTCTTATATAGGTGGTGGGAAAACACATACTTACAGCAGCCCATGCAATGGGAGAAGCTGGAAGCAATCTGAACACCGGCAGGCTCCTCACACGTACCACTAATCCATCCCAAGAGCAACACATTAACAAGTCACCCTAAAACCATTACGGTGGAGAGACTGACAAGTGGAAGGTGGGCGTAAACAGCTCTCTGGGAAACTGACGTTAAACTGAATGAATAGGTAGAAAGATGCAAATAACTGGGTAGGGATTCATGCCACTGAGTAACACTATTTCCGCCCCTGCAGCTACCAGTCCTCCCCAACTCTTCTATGCATTTCCTTTTTCAAAGAGCATCACTCTGATCTTGCCTGCTTTCAGCTTAAGCCTGCAGGACTTCAACTCATCAACTTTGCTTTCCTACCAACCTTCTGACTCCACTTTCTGGTGGTAGCACTTCTGCTGGCTGAAAACAAAACACAGAATTGAGTGCCAAGATTGTTTTGCTATAACATTTGGCCACCCAGCCAGGAGTTGAAGGAGGACCTGCAAAGTAACTATAGCTGAGGGCTTTCAGAGAGGAAAGGTGATTGCCCCTCGTTCATCAAGTTGTGCTACAGAGGAAAAACAGAGTCAGAAAACTGCAGATCCGACTTCCTTCTTACCTCTCAGTTCTGTGGGAGGGCCACAAACACGTGCAAGAACATATCAGCCACCCTGCCACAGACGTGTGTGAGCATACTTTGCTCAGAACCATAAAACTGAAAGTCTGTTTTCTCTTTCCTTGATCACTGCATGAGCCATATATAAATTCACAGTATGGCAACTTCCTGCAGTCCTTCAGAGGATTTTGACGGGGTTTTCTCTCCCTTCTAGTAGGTCTTCATCAGCAAGCAATAATGTTAGCTATGGAGGTGGCCTGATTCTAACAGGTAGAACAAAATACCGTGCCAGCTTAATGACAGGGTGTGACTGACTAGCACACCCCCTCCAGTGGAGGACAGCTCAGAGGAGAAGGGCAAAAAACCAATGATCTCAGGTAAGAGTGTATCATAAAGAAAGCTCAATTTACCTCGATATCAGGGAGACTGGAGGGTAACCTTAGTTTTAGAGAAGACAGCTGCACCTGTGAATCATCAGGTTCCCCAAGCCAATTAACAAAGAATAATGTCTTCCTGAGCTAGCCAGACCAGCATGGGGGGTGTGAATATGTGGCTCAGCCCAACATAAAAGTATAAAAACTAGACAACTGATAAAAAATTTAAACTTTGAAAAGAGCAATGGACTTGAGCTGGCTTCAACCCACATGTTCCATCGTGACTGGGGATGCCCAGTGCCATGAAGCATACAGAGACGAGTAATGAGAATCATGTTTGTATTGTGATTCAACTGTATATTGCATTTGCTAAATTATGCTTGTGTTGTGATTTCAGTATGTTGCTGTATCACCCTACTAAATCAAAATCCCATGTAGCACCAAATATACCAAATAAGTAAATTTGATATCCAATTCCTCCTCATGTGGAATATCTGAAAAAACTTGGTCTGAGAGTATTGAACTCTGACACAGAGAAATACAGAAAAACAGAAATGCTCTAGATTCACAACTTCACTACTGAAGCAGCTGCCACCTTCCAGCAAGTTTCTCTAAGCTATATTTCCTTATCATAAAACAACATTCACAAATCTAATTACTAACTTCATATCAGGGTCTCATTTATGAAAACATTATAAAAATGTAAATAACTTGTTGCCACATTTCCTAAATGGTTAACCAAATGTCAGCCACAGAACTGTATCATACCTGGTAACACCTTCTGGTAACTTTTGCCACAAACAGCGCTCTCATTTACATAGTGCTTGTAACATCTATTTATTATTTATGAAACCTGTGTGAACAGAGCTGTGACTCTAAGCATGGGCATTCTCCCTTTTACTTGGAAGGTGAAAAAGGGTAAGGGGAGCAAAATGCAACTGCCAACACATTGTGTGGAACTAGGAAAAAAAGTTTCGCTTCAAGAACACAAGCAGGATTGAATGAAGAACCCCTGCTTTATGGCTAGACATGGATTTCCAAAAAATACGAACTAAAAAAAGCAGAAGTTACAAAGTGTCTCAAGTCCATCCTTTGTCTTCTTATAAACTCAAAAGGAATGTAGCCGTTAGAATCCCATACAGCTCCTACACACCACCTACACATTGCTGAGGATGCAAGGTAAGAACAGCTTCACTGGTATCAGCTGCCATTATCATTAAAGTCCTGAACTTAAACTTACTCTTTTCTACCATCTTTCCAGATGCTAATGAAAGGATATCAATATGCTACCCCTCGGGGTGGCTGCCATTGAATACTTCAACAAGAGCAAAATAACTTCGTCTGCTGAAGTAAAAGTGTTCATCGTGCTGACCGTCCCTCAGTCAGCTCATCCAAAAGAGAAACACACCACAAAGGTGATGTGAAAACCAAGAGTATTTATTACAACAAAAACAAGAGTCCACCGCAGCTAGAGTCAGTTGCCAGGAGGAGAAGGCATCTCAGAGTAGTGGATCTAATGGAGTGGGACCTTCCTTCCGGTGGTTGACAGCCATTCAAAACAGACTGTGTCCTGTAAGAGCTCTGAGAAAAAACACAATTGGAACCCTTTCTATTAAACAAACCTAAACAGCAGTGCTGTTTAGCCAAGTAAATTAACAACATAAAGCAAACCAAATATTTGGAGGAAAAGAACCAAACTTGTATTATCATAATCATCTTTTTTTGGTCCTTCTGGACAGGGATGTTATTTTCCATGAAAAATTATACAGCTTCCAGAGACAGCCAATGATTCACCTCTGGGTAAATCAGTTACAACTTTACACATGCTCTCTGGGAAGGGATCTAGCATTCTGAATCCATTTGTTCTTTTCTTCAGATTTCTTCTTCTTCTAACAACTCGGACAGAAATGGGACTTCCATTGGCATTTCCAATAATTCTTAAAAATCATACTACTCGGAAGTGCTTCCTCACTTGAAACCCAGACTGAACAGACTTCACTGCTTCTGCAGTACAGAAAGCCAGATCTGTAGTCCTCCACAGCCTTACCAGACTGCTACAGATCCAGGTGCCAGGAGACTGATTAAACACAGGAATTGGAAAATTTAGGTCCCATGGCCCCTTGAAAGACTGGAGCTAACTACACAGATCCAGATTTCTCTTGCAAATTCTCTTCCATGTAGAAGCCCATTCCAGACGTGATTCCTAGCTGAGTGTATTCTTATTTTTCAATTTTCAATTGACAGACATTATGGAATTTGGAAGATCAATTGCTTCCGTAGGGTTGATGTTATCTTTGGCATCTGCTTCCATCCATTTAATACTCTTCCTCCCACTTCCTTGTTCACTTCTGTCAGGATGGTTATAAGATCCTTGCGGCTTGAACAAAAATGAAGAAAAGTTACATTGAAATATATGGTACTTGCAGCTAGGCCAAGAAGCTGATCTATGTTTGTTCCAGTAAAGTGGAATCTCAGGGAAGGCTAGTATTTTCCCCTCACCCTGCCTGTCACTGAAATTGCACACTCCATTGTGTAACCACAGAATTCAGTGTTTTTGGGGAAATAAAAGCAACCTCCATGTAGCATCGCTTTACCAACAAACGCAGTCCCCTATTTCAGTTATAGTCAGAAGAGCGCACTAAGATGAAACAGAACCAAACCTATGCATTCTCCAAGCCCTCTTCTGGACACCATGAGAAAGTGATGTCTGAAGGGAAATTCTATTTCCTAAATCAAATTTATGAGGGGGATGGGAGGGAGGCAACAATGAAAATTATGACTACAGAACACTGATTTTTTTGTCTGTATAAGCACTCAACAAGATCACCTCTCATCTGGTGTCACTGGAAGAAAGATCATTTATCAGACAAAAAACATTAGAAAACATGCACACACATACAGACACTTGTTTATATGTAATGATCCAGCATTACAATCCTGGATCTGTCACAGGCAAACTAGGGGAAGTCATTTGTACTTTGGTTCATCTGTAGAAGAATAACAATGTCCAATTCCAGAATAATAACTGTTCTGCACTGTCCTGCAGGTGAAAAGCATTATATAGCACAAACGCAAAACACGGACGTTTCAGCACAGCATGCTTAAGTATGTATGTCTACAATACCCCAAACGCACATGGATTAAAAATAGTACTTACAGTGGGCAAAGCAACTCCATCTTGTCACAGAGGCATTGAACGTAAACACTGCCAGTCTTTGTACAGCGGTAGCACTCATATTCTTCCACTGTAGCCATGCCAACCAGAATATCAGCCTGATCAGGAATAGAAGTCAGAGGGGTAGCATCTGTCTCAAGATGGCCAGAAAAGTCTTCTTTTACTGTGACAGCTGGATGACCTACAGAGCCTTGGCAAGCCTGGATGAAAAACAGCTTGGGTTTGCCAGCAAGAGAAGGACAATTAGATCCACTGAAGAAGGAGAGTAAATCTTTAATATTTACAAACTCATGATCAACGCCTTTTATTTTGTCTTTTTCACCATGGGAAAAAATGAAGCAAACAAAACAGTCCATGTTACTATGATCTTTTTTGCTGTATTCTTTAACTTTTGCATACATTTGCTTTGCTTCTAGATCCATGTGCTCAACTGTCTCAAACTGAAGCCACTTAAAGACCCTCTTCACAGCCTCTGGGGAAAAAAGTCAGAAGGCACTTGTTAAACATAAACAGTGACAAGGAAGATGCTGAAACATCAGTGCCTGTGTGGTAGAACAGATATTAGCAGAAATGTTCAGATCCCACCAATAAACTCACCTGACTGACTCTTAGCCTGCCAAATCTAATTAGAAAAACCCAAATGCCTGATTTCATTTTTTTTAAACACAACTGGGTTAAGCATCACACTATCTAAAACAAAAACAGCTTTCAGATTATCTGATTAATCAGTACAGATTAGTGAAGTTTACTGTGTTAAAGCAAGCTTTAACTGTGCATTGCATAGTAATCTCAGATGCTTAAGAACAACACTTAGCAAGTTAAAGAAGAGGTACCTCTTTAGAATGACAAATTCTGCCACTCTTAAATGAAGTAGGTCCCTCATTCTGTGAGAATGATCAATGCAGCAAGAAGGAAGGCAGGGTCACCCACTAACAAGTGCTATGCAGACTTCTCAGCAAATGTTGACTTAATTGTTGTGTGGGCAGTGAGAAAGTAGCTGGGAAGCAAGCAGCCTGTAGACAGGCTGGATGGAGTTAAAATATCAGTGATATGTGCTTTCATGAAAAAGATTTTACTTTTTTAAGATAAACTCTTGTTTATCTTGAAAGTGACTCTTGCAGGAAGACAGGCTTTAAGGAAAATTATAAAGCAGCAGCATTTATTTGAGCATTAAGTAGAATTTAAGGACTTAAAAACATTACTCCATGATAGCTAAGAATTAAAAACAATCAAAAAGTGAAAAGGTGGAATAGTAATCCCTCCTTCACTATTTGGTACATATGACCAATTAAGACGATGCTTTTTACCTAGAAAGTGTTCCTTCTTCAAGACATCAGCTAAGCTGTTGGAAGTGGCCTATTTCCAATTTCTACAGTGACTGTCATTCCAGTTACTCTGGAGGCAAAGAGCTCAGTGGATATGATTCTTCTTCACAGGAAAGATTAGATAATTCTTTCAGAGAAAAAAACAAACCAGTAATTGGATTAAAAAAGTACTTACCTCCATCTTTCACTGTTCCTTCTCTGGCTTCATACGGATTTTTAAAAATGTAGTTGTTAAGAATCACACAGTAACCGTGGGGGTTATTTTTCATCTTATATGATTCCACAGGCTTTAGAAACAAAGAAAGCAGATAAGAAAGCATTGCCAAGCATCCAAAAGAGAAATATGCTATACACAGACTGTTGGTCCTTCATGTCCAAGCACAAAAAAATCATGAGGGCCAAGATACAAGAAAGGAAAAGCCTAAGAATACAAGCTAGCTACAGGGGAGAGGAACGTGCTTTGTCTCCCTGAATCCCTCCTCCTCTCTCTCTGTGGTTAGGATATGATTTTGGCATGTGAGAAAATGAGTGTCCAGAAACACAAATTTGCATGCGCAGAGGAAAAGTTCCTGCACCCTATCATTCCCTCTGAGTGTCCTTGTGGGTTTCTAGTGAGGTAGCAGATTCTTTTGTTCCCTTCGCATCTGTCCAGGAGTATCCTGGCCAGGACTTTAACGTCCCAGTCTCCATTATCATTAAGATTGGTGTTCTTCACACAACAGTTATTCCTTCATTTTTTGCCTAAAAGGTTGCTGACAGCCAGGTCCTCACAAAGAAACAAGGCTTTGAAAACAGGAATTGTTTCAAGGCCTACATATAAAGCCAGAACCCCTCCCTTTCAGCTCTTCCACCTGCTTAGTCTTAAGAATTTATGCTCCCCTCTCCCAGGAGTTGGATAAATACTTTAAAGGTAATCTTGAGGTATTTCTCACCAGGTGTGGTGTCTCCCCCTCTGCTCCTTGTCCTTCTGGATGCACAGACACAGACACTGGATAGTGGAGTTTTTCCATAGAATCATTTTCTAAGAGGGAGAAGATAAACAGAAATTTTAGGACTAAAAAGAGAAATCTTCCACTGTTGCATATTTCAAGACTCAAAAAAACAGCTCAAGGAGTGAGGTGGAGAGTGGTTTCTATATCACTGAGACACCATCATTTTGCAGAGCTGGGCCAAGCAGGGTTCCACAGACTGCTGGTTATTGAAGCTGCGCAGAGCTGCGCTCCATTTCTTCTCTGCTCTTTTACTAGTAGCAAGATCCAGATAATAAAAGGCTGAATGTGAGTAGTCATCCCAGGCAAGCCATTCACTAGCATCTCCACTATGCGATACATAAGTGAAAGAGGAGACCCATTTTTGTACAGTGGTACACTACAGCTAGTTCATTTATTTCTGAGGCCGTTGTCTCTTCTCTAGAGAACTTTACTGTTTTGGTGGACACACCAACTATGCAGAATACCAGCATAATGGAAGATCTGCTCAAAGCAACAAAACACGTCTTTGAATACATCTGCCTGAAGTAAGTGAAGAAATCATCAAACCCATGACTCTACCCAAGGAAATAAATCACAGTACCCCTTTCACAAGTTACACAGATGTGTTTAAATGGAATTTAAGTGTCACGGCAACAAGATCTGTAAGACATCCTCTTTTTCTACTTATCAAGGGAGACAAAATAATAACAATACTACTAAAAAGCCACTCCCCTGACACAGGGCTTGCTTACACTAGCCACCCTTGGCAATTCTCTTCTGCTCTTTTAGAGACAGAAGCACAAGTCGGCAGCACAAAGACATACTGGAGAAACTAGTCAGTATCTCTGTAGGGAACTGCATGGGCAGTATAGATCTGTCTAAGGAAACACACATCCCAAGTCATCCAAAAGGAGGTTCTGGGGAAAAATTTAATAGGTCTCAGTTGTTGTTGGTTGACACATCCTGTTTCCCAAAGAGTATGGCCCAGCTGTGGTGTCACAAGTCACCACCTCAGCTGCAACAGCCCAGATACACTGAAGGCCTTGAAATTTCACATCTGGTACAGAAAGCTAATGGTTACACTTTAGCCAAGTATGTGGTCTCCAGGGACTTTTCCTTTGACTAAGAGCAAACAGCCTGGCTAACAGAAAATAATGCTGACAATCTTCCAATACAAGTCTCCCCAAGGCAACTGTCACCTCCACTCTCTTTCAGTGACTGAAAAGCTATCCTGGTCCAAAACCAGCACTGCTATGTTTCCTGAAGAGAAAAATTGCATTTAAGGCAAAGAGGAGGGAGAAGCAGACCATTTACAAGGCACAGAATGTATTTCAAGGAGAGATACAAGAAGGTATGATGGGATAATGAAGTAGCAGAAAACTTAAGAAACCATAGGTACCAAGAGACGCTCTGCCTATCCTAGGGTCTTGTAAGGTCTCTCTCTTATCTCTGGACTCCTAAGTTGCCAAGGATGGAGCCACAAAAATCACAAAAAACCCAGTCTCTACTCTTAAAATGCAGATTAAATAACTTACCTTTTTTTTTTTCTTCATAGGTATCAATTTTTTTCTTTATGTCAGCTCTAAATCCCTTTACTATATCTTTCAGCATTGCCAGGTCATCTTCTTTAATTATCCCATTTCTCTCCATTTCCAGTAAGACCTTCAACATTGACTGGTAAAACAAAAACACATAATCCAAACTCATACAGTGACCTTCAATAACTGCAGTATCAGGCACTCCTGGACAGAGCAAGACAACATCCTCATTCCCAGACGCTGACCAGCTAAAGACCAATTTCTTTTTCCTCCAAACCTCATTAAAAATAGGGTCAGGATGCAATGCAACTGAAGGAACACATCACTAAGATTAAGACATGAGCATTAGAAATTGTCTATGGCTAGGTTATCCTGCTTTGTTTCAGCAGTGCAAAGCACTGATGTAGATAACAGCATGTGCCTCTGTGTTCAGATGAAGTGCTGTTAAGTCATTTAGCTGTGCCATTTTACATTTTCTATTACAGAAAAGGTGTTCAGGGCTAATTTTGGTTTTTAAAGCTCAATAGTCCACCAAGCTGGAGGTAAATCTGCTAATTTTCCTATAGATGCCACAATACAAGTAGGACTTTTAAGGAAGCTTCTCAATAATACCAAGTATTTTTATAACACTATTCATTATTCACAATACAAGTATTAAACTAGCTCATCAAACCTCTTAATATTTTGTGGGGAGTTAACAAAATGCTGTTACTCCAAATTACAATAAAGAAGAAAATGTACTCAATGACACACCATAATTTGTGGTTGAACTCACATTAGAACTTGATTTTCTGTCTCCCAAACATTATTTTTCCTCCAGCAAACATCACTCTTCTTAGATACAGCATATGTACAAATGTCTTATAAATGCCAATCAAAGACGAAAGGAAGAGCATGATGGATTTTGCAAGAAGAAAAGATTAGGGAGACAGGTAGTGGAGAGAAAATAGGAACAGGAAAGCAAAAAAGGGCAGAGAAAAGATAAAATGAGAAAAAAAAAAGGTCCATTCTTTCACACAGCAGCTATCAGCTAACATCACGATACTTTCAACAACAGATTTTAGTGATAGCAGACTGCTTTGTCTTTCCTCCCTTCTTACAAGAACTAGCAGACTGAACTCTTGCAAGAAACTTATCAAGATCACTTTGCATACAGCATTGTCCTGGAGCTTGTTCTTTGGTATTTTTTTTCGGAGCAGGAACTTCACGCTCTTGACATCTTCTGGAGTCAAGTCCTCTGCAATTCCATATAGCAGTTGCCTGGCAATAAATAGAGAAAGACTGAATAAGAAAGTTATGAGAAGTAAACACCACAATTACACATTTGAACTGCAAAATGTAAAACTCACAATGGCAGGTAGTCATGCTGTAATAAATACAGTTATGCTGGGATATTCATAAGACATCAGTGCAGACAGAAAACAAGACAGTACACAGCAGAACTGTGATACATCTTTCATGCAAAGGTTTACTACTTCTGTGCTTACCTGTAGGCTGACACTCGCGCCCTGCCTGGGATCTGAAGCTCTCTTTCCATCTCCTCTCGGCTGGAGCCCAGCCGGGCTTCCAGGAGGTCGATCCGACTGATCCGATAGAGCAGCTCCTTCAGGAAGAAAAGGTTCCCCGCCTCGATCATGCCTTTCTCCTGCAGCACTTCGAAAAAGGCCTTGGGCTCCTGGATGGCTTCCAGCTTCCTCATGGGGACGTGCTCCAGGCTGAGGAACTTCAGAGCCGCCAGTTCATCTGTGACCAAAGCCTCAGAAATGTCAAAAAGGAGTTTGTGGAAGACTGTACTCATTTCACATCAGGATTTGGATCTAAACACAAACAGAAGTTTATTTCATTTGTCAGTAACAGTAGTGCAACAACATGATTATAAAAGGTATCATCATGTAGAAGAGCCCAAAATAAATACATGTAATCAAAAGTACTTCAGCAGAGAGAGGCTGTCTTGCTATCATAGCTTTGATGCTTAGCTCTTTCGGTTCTCTCGACTTAACAAGGAATATAAAAAACTCTGTACTAAGTGAAATTGACAGAGAAAGACATGGATCGTTCTTGCTTCCTATGGTATGTCTAGACAGCGGGAAGTACCGATGTACAGGATGTACAATCCTGGCAGGCTGCTGCTGTCTTGGTTTTGGTTTGGGTTTTTTTTTTTTTGAGGTTTGCTCCCATTTGGGAGCAAGAGCCATTTGCCAGTCTGAAATACAGACTATGTAGTAAATGAGACTGTCAGGATTTACACCATAACAAAGACAAAAGTTTTATATCATAACAAAGATAGAAGTCCACATGAGTATAACTCTTCTGAGCTACCTGGCTTCTCCTTTCTTTATACACTGCTTCTGACCCTGGTCAGCATAGCCAAAGCACCTCTTCTTGTTTTGGATTATCTGCATCAAGTAAAACTCAGTTCCCAGCTCTCAATCAATTTGTAATACTCAAATCAAATACAAATCATATCAACCCTTTTAAAAAGGCCAAGAGAATTCTTGTCAAACCAGTTCTGTTTCACTGAGCATCAAATACCACCTCCCTTCTCCACCACTTCCGCCATCAGCTTCAGAAATATTAAACTTGGCTTATGGATCCAACTTTTGAACACAACAGCAAGTTAGAAAATACCAAGTGCAAGCCTTCCAACTATCTCACCCTGACACTTAAAAGACCTGCCTCCACTGCCTCTCTGGTAAGAGAACCATTTGCCACTTTATTCTCTCTGCGTTAGATCTAAGACACCTAGGAATCTCTGAAGAGAAACTCTATAGAAATGCATTCAGTAGAGGTCTCTTGTCCCATTGAACTCACTGGGAGACAGAAAAGTTGACAACAGCAAATCAAAACTTCCTACTCCTCCACTGCCGGAGTACTAGGCAACCCATTTTAATGTTACTGCTACTGCAAATGTTTCAATACCAGGGCTAATAACTCCAGGGTACTCCAGCTGACTAACTGAATCAGTACTACTGTAAATATTAAAAAAAAAAAAAATTAGCAGACAATTGTACTCCCCTCTCCTCCAAGGACCACTCTACAGCAAAGCAGCTTTTTGTGGCACACCCCTGGTCAGTATTTGGTTAGTTAGCAAGACTGAACATACAATCTAATCTTAAACCTTTGCCTATCAAAAAACCTGATAAAACAGCAAAACATGCTTTGTGATGCAGCATATACGATTCATGCTCTGGCCCCAAAAACTGTTTTCTTTCAATCCATTCAAACTGAACTTTTAAACAGACTAGAATCCATACCATTCAGCCTATATCACCACAAAACCACTAGTATCTGAATGAATCATATGTGCTTAACCTCACAATTCAGTGACCTCAGATCTGACTGTATATTTTTATATCCACACAGGAAAGAGAAGAATACTTTCTTGGTAGCTAGTTATGAAGTTATTTTCTTTCTCACATAAATCATGCCTTTTGCTTAAGATATAAGGCATGTGCTTATAAAAGTAAATCTTTCTGGTAAAGGAAATTTTCATTTTACATTTCTCAAAGGCTGTAAGTTTCAAACCTGCAAAGCTATTGCAATTAGAACAGATGTGCCACCTGCACGCTATATTTAAGCCTGTCTGTAAATACAGAGAGCACACTAAAACAATGTTTAACTGCTTCTGTCTTTTTCTCCCACTTAACTAAATTAAACACACAACTGATACAACAAGCAAACTGAATAATAATAGTATTAATAATCATAATAATCATAATCATAATTTTACATCACTTGAATGGGAGGACAGGCTGGAGGACTGCTGGAACAACTCCGAAAAAAGTGAGACAGCCATAGTCTCTGAAGTTCCAGGAAAAGTACTGCCTCTGTACTATGGTCTATATTGTCACATGACTTACGAAAAGTATAAAGTACAACAAAGTAATAAGCTGTGGTCACAATGCAGCACTTCCCTATTCCACCTATCACAGTTCCAGTTTCAGAAAATTAATTATTACAGTGCTTGTGAGAAAAATTGGTAAACAAGCCACAAAAGTAACCAGGTTTTGCTTTTGTTCTAAGGGGACACACTAAGCAGCATAGCCAGGACTTTCTAGTATACAACACAGCTCAGTATATTTGCTCCCATACATAAATCCCAATTAAAAGACAGTGAGGGAAGGGTGAATCAGTTATACCTTCCCATTTAAAAATATCTCAGTCTCACTGTCCTGCTGTGTTACCAGATCCTCCATGACTTACCTCCTTTCTCTGAAGTCCCTCTCCAATTCACCCTAGCCTATTTTTAACATGCACTTTCATGGAAGATTATTTCCTAAATTAAAAAAAAGTCAACTATCAGCACCAAATTCAGTAGCAGTACTCAGTGAATACAGCAAACTGAAAGGCTAAACGTTCCTTTGAAATTATTTATGTAATATACTTCCCCATTTACAAGAGAATTTAAGCAATAATTAGATTTTGGCATTTTCACCCTCTTTGAAAATTAGAACTCTGCCTTCAACGGTAAGGTGCCCAGTATTGTCTGCTCATCACCAGTATCTTCCTTGCAGCAGGAAATACACGATCAGCAATCAGTACAGCTACCAGACTCTCTAAAGCTTGTGAAGTCAGCATTATGAAGAGAGACAGTTAGGAGAGCCAACATTTGTTAAAATTTTGCAATGAAAACAATCATTCATTGATTCCAACCTATCTACCTTTATAAACTTAAAATTAGAACATACCCTTCGATAGAATGAGGCATACGAATTCCTTCCAAAAGGCACACGCCAGTAACAGTTCAGAAAACGTGTCTGACTTATTTCACTGGCATTATCCAAAGGCTGGGAGCAGCACAGAGGGACACCACAAACACTATCTGACCTTCAGGTCCAAAATGGTTCTGTCTCCATGTCATCGCATTCCTCAGCGTCTCTGTCCCTGCATCAGTTCCTCTGTGCCTTAACTGAACAAAGACTCCAGTTGCAGTTCGAAAGAGGAAGCATGCTGTGACCAGCACTGTGTGAAAAATATTTGCAGACAAGACCAAGCCCAGGCTGGTTCTTTCCAGATAGAGGCTTCTCCCATCATGCAGCAGTTTCAAGGACCAGCCCTCTTGGCACTGTTCTTCCTCTTTGTCTTTACTGTTTCACTTCTTATTTCTTCCTCTCTTGCCCTTCCCCAAAATGTTCCTGTTCTTTTGTTAACTTACAGTCTCTCCAATTTCCCTCAGCTCCCCTGCACCCTGGTTTTGTCTCTCCGGCTTCCTCAAGAACTGTCTCAGTAACCCAATCTATTCCTTGCACAGCAGTCTGCCAAAAATTCATCTCCCAGAAAGGCTGGTCTTGAGGAAGTGAAAATGCTGAGGCTACTGACTACTCAACAACTGTAATGACTGTGGCCTCTACTGGCACAAGGCAGGATACACATTCTGCTGCACAAAAATTGACAGTCAGGAGGGATGGGATACCAGAGACTTGTGGATGTTACAAATCCCACTTTAAGATCATGATCTTCCCAAGATACCAACTTCCCCAACAGAAAGACTCTTTTTACACTAGTTCCACTTAAATCTGTCTAAAAAAGGGTTGCACAAGTCACAACCCTTCTTTAATTCTGTAGATGGAGAGCATGCACATGTATGCCATCAATAAGCCTCAACAGAAACCAGCCACATTTTGTTTGTTTCTGGCACAGCTCTGTATTACTAGAGTTACTCTGAAGGTGTACAGTGTGGACAACACGGAGCAATGAATATCTTAAATTGTATAAAATCCACCCACTCTCCAAGACTTTCAAACTGCTATCTTACAATACACTGCAGGAGATCATGCAGAAATGTCCAACAACCTTGCTGAATGGCAGCTGTGCTAAGCCTACACTGCCTTTGGGCTTGGGCTGACAGAGTACCTTTGCATGCACCGAAGTATTACAGTGTGCAGCCATATAAACACAACCCTCAACACACATAAGCAAAATATTCACACTGAATAGTATAAATCATGGTAGTGTAAACTGTGTTTGAACAAACTTTATTATGAGCGAGGAAGACTTTACCAGTCTTTTATACTTCGCAAGCGTGGATCCCTCTCCCCAGGGAACTCAAGGCAGAAGTCAGCTTAGACTCTTCTGACTGCCTTTACCTACCCATGATTTAACTGGAGATTACCCAGGCAGAAATCTCTACAGAGGAAGCAAGATAACATGATGATGTTCTCTGTCTACCAAACTTAAAAACTAAAATAAGATCCTGCAAAACAAGGTCAAAGTTGTTGTCAGTGTTTACTCCGCACTGACAAAAATTCTACTGTTACCTAAACATACAAAACGAGTGCTTGAAGCCTGAACAGTAACTGCGAGCCAGAAACTTTATGATTCTATTACAGTATGTTGTATATTCTACTAATAGACAAAACATTTTCTATCTGTGGCACAAATGTGACTTCAAGTGTGGCAGCCACACTAACTCAGAAGACTCAAAATGCAATGGGTCACACAACTATCGATTCATTATGATAAAAAGTGACCATTATGTTTTGGCAAACTGGCTGCATTTCAATGCTCTGTGTGATGCAAAACTCCCCTCCTAACAATCCTGGATAATGCAAGCTAAAAATTGCATCCAACAGCACTAGACAGTACTCCTTCAAATCTTCACCCTAACTTATAGCTAGTAATCATATATAACAACCAGTGTTCTGCTGAAATAAACTAAGTTTCACTTCAGCTTAAACCCTGAGGCAGCTAAAACCCCACTGATTCACGCAGCCCAACAAAGTGCAGGGGCCAGTCAGAAACAAGGATAAGCCTTACCCCAGTACATAATTTTTATCTCACCAAGCTCTTAAAAAGAAGTATGAATTTAATGCAGTAACAAACAGGAAGGACATAGACATACATAGTAAATGCTCATAACAAAGCAACGTATTTCAGTTAACTCACAAAATGCTGTTAGAAGCTTAATCAAAAAGAAGCCTTGTTTCTCATATGGCTACATTTTAGATCTTAAAACAAGAAATGATAATCAGAAAATTTAATGCTTAACAAAGTTAATCAATCTGATAAACCTACACAGATGCACTGCCAAATGCCATATTTCATAGCGTGCAAATCTTCTACCCTAACTTTTCTTTCCAGAAGTAATGGGGAAATGACAGTTCACAAGGTTTCACAGAGGGAATACTACACAGCATTTTGGCTTTACTCGGTTTTGGAAAGATCTCATTGTACATGATGTTTATGTTAGCCATTGGACAGTATCAGTCTGCATTGTGGAACAAATTACTGATTTCAATAGCTAACTGGTTCTCCATTAAGTTAAATTTAATTTAAATTAGAATTGGAAGAAATCCTTTTCCACTTACTACTTAAGCTTTCTCCTCTTCATTCCCACCTTTGTCTTTCTCTATGAACATAGCTAGTGGATTTAGAGGCAGGCTTTAGAATTGTTAGCCTGCAAAATAAAACACGATGAGCCTAAACCAGACAATTAACAATCTGGTTAGATATGGAAGGCTACATGCAACCCTTATGCTGTCAGAAAAACACTTTTATATCTGCAGTCTGTACAGGTACAAAAATTTTAACATGATAGAAGCATGCTTCTCCCAACCCTGATAACTCTAAATATATAGATGATGTAAATAGCTGGCACATGGATTGTTTTAATTGTGTTTCTCCAGTTTCACAGTTTGTTTGGCAAAAAATTTATGAGGCGTTGTCTTGAAGCTAACAGTTCCTCAGGATTCTGGGTAACTGCCTCAAAACAGGTAGTGTGGTGAATTGCATTTAAATGAGATGTGCTGATAAAAGGATGTATTTTAAAAGCCTCAACGTTGCTGTGAAGGAGGAGGGTCTCTAGGTATTGGGAATATAAATTTTCTTCTTAAGGTATATGCTGGTTGGGGCATCTGCTTCTTTGTCCCCAAGCGGTCAACACGTCTGCCCACATCTTCATTAACTTCTGTAAGAATCGACAAAATATCTTCACCCCTACAGCCAGAAGGAGAGCAAAAATTAAAAAATGACCTATTAATGAGCAGATGGCACTCCATTTAACACTTCCCAGATCATCTAGAAGATACAGTATAAGCATTTAAAACACAAAAAAGAAAACACATACTTTTCTCCAAATTTCTCCTTTTGTTCTCATTTCAGTCATATTAAAAACAGAAGACCTTTTCTTACCCTGTCTTGCTTGATTCAACCAGTAAAGAAAAATAACGGAATAAAATATTTTTTACTTAAATCCACTCAAGAATTTCACATTCTCCAGATTATCTCTATGGTTCTAGCAGTGTTAATGTAAATTTATCAGTGGCAAGCAAACAAATCACCAGCTTAACTAATTTTGTCCACCTCAGAACATGGGTTAGTGTTCCTATGTGAATTTGCCTTTGGAGGAAAAAAAAAGGGGCAAGTTCCTTCCATTTTTTCATGGAAGAGCTAAGCAAAGTATTTACCTTGGTACCAACAACTGTAGCTTGCTGCACAGGGCCTGAATATACCAAGCACCCTGTTGAATGTGCCGGAAAGAGACATATCCATCAATTGTGGCCATGCCTAGGAGGAAATCAGCCTCTTCAGGAATACTTTCAGAAGGAGAAACGCTCTGTTGCATGGAAGACAAGTCAGGAATTCGTGCATCAGCTTCAACATAGACAGGACACTGTATCTCTTTACCCTGGCATGCTTGGATAAAGAAGAGTTTGGGTTTTTCAGCCAGCTGTGGACATTGTTTGGCAGTGAAGTGAGACATGATCATGCGGATTGATACAAGTTCCTCATCTTTCCCATAGATCGCTCCTGATTCTCCATGAGATAGAATACAACATATAAAACAGTCCCTGTCTTTGTGATCTTGCAAATGCTGCCAAGTTCGCATGAGATCTTTAATCTCCCGAGATGTCAGATCTGTGTAAGTCCTCACATCCAGACCAAGCCATGTGAATACTCGCTCTAGTTCCCCTGTAATTGTAAGAAAGATAAAAGAAAAAATTGAGGCAGTAGAAAACCAGTTTATGAAGGTCACCATGCAAGTTAACCTGAACCAGGAAAGATGTTACACCCTGACACTTCTGCAGATTTAACCTTATACTACTATCAGCTAAAGGTTAACTGGAATAGAAAAAGATGGCATCAGCTCAAGCACAGAGTTCCTGGATTTTTCTAGACAAGTTTCAGAAAATATAATGACATTTTACAATGTATAATGACACACTAAGTGAGCTCACAAATGACACCTGAAAATATGAGGACTCCCTCCCTGAGTTTCCACTTAGATCTTTCAAAACCTTCCTCACATCATTATTTTCCAGTTGCAGTTTTGACTATTAGAGTTTCATACACAAGAGGTAAATAGGATGAACAGAATAAAATAAGAAGTATGCACAGAGTTGCTTGATTATGGAATTTTGCATTATATTATGTAGAATGATGGTTTAGTTTAGTTTTAGTTCTTTGTTATAAAGATAAAGGCTAAGTAAAAAGAGATTCTTAAAATGATTCAAGAATGATCCAACTGCATCAGAAACTCAGTGGTTACTCATTCTTTAACCCTTCCTCCCCTAGGATACACAAATGACATAATTTAAGACATATCAAACATTTTACTCTCTAAGAATATGAACTAACTAAAAATAGACAATAAAATATAGAGCAATACTAGACAATCAACTCACATGGGGAAACAGAGAGACTAATCCTCCAAAAATCTCACTTCAGTAACTTACCAGCATCTTTGCAAGAACCCTTCCTCTCCTGAAGAGACCTATCGAAGTTAACATTATTAATAACAAGACAAAATCCTCTGTGTGGACCATCCATTTTGTAGCTTGTCATCTTCTGTAGAAAGGAGAAGAAAAAAGCTTACAGCCTCAATGAATTTATTCAACTTATTTATATTTTCTTAACACGTCTCAAGATTGGCATCCAAAAATTAGAGGCATGGGTAAGACTGTGGGTTACTTCTGAAAAGCTGGAACTCAATGGTGCCTCCTTGTGTGAAAAGACATGGGTGAAGTCTCAAGCACACTCTGTCACCATACTATCAAACTGTAGAGGACAGGTTTAGCAGCTGGGTTGGTCATCTGTACGCAAAAGGGAGGATTCAGCAGCCAAACTCTGCGATCTGAATTGGTGACGAGGATAGAAGTCCCAAACTGTTTCCAACGTCACGACAACATTTTAACTTCAGATGGCAGAGGGTTCACAGTGAAACTATATGATGTTAGACATCTGAGTTGTTTTTTCAAGAGTAGTAATGAATACCTGGAGCAGGTGGTTCATACTGATCCACTGGAAAGGGACGCAAGCAGAACAGACAACTCAGAAGCGCATAAACCTGCCACACTACCAGTTTTGCTAAGTCTTAAAAGTTACCTCTCACTCTTAAGACAGAATGTTTTAAAAACTGAAAAGTCACCAAAACTTCAAGTACCATCTCGTCAAGTCCAACCTCGGTTTGAAATAAAAAAACTCCCACCACTCCAGTTCCTTTCTGCTTACTAGAGAGAGCAACAAACATCAACTTTTGTACATTTTAGTGAACAAACCGAAGGCAGCACTCCAAGCTCCTTCAACAGCAGCAAGAAGTACTTTTGCTACAGCAGTCTGAATATCAGGTGATGAAAAGATATGTTATGGCACAGAACTTCAAGAAATTAAATAGCTATAAACAAATGCAGCAACTTGCCCCCTCAATATCCAGGCTCATCAGAAGGAAAAAGCCAGAGGGAGAATTCAGTGGTTACACTGCTGTACAAGGTTAAAGAGTACACATAAGGTTTCTAAGAAGGGATCTGGCAAAAGGGAGACCTCTGGTTTATTGAGGAAGATTGTTACATGCCTGCAATAGCTTACTAAAAAACTCTTGCCTTCTTTTATCCTTCTCACAAGGTCTTTGCATGCTGCCCCTCATTAGTTTTAATTGCAAGATGCCCTGAGGCTTTTTCTAAGCCAGATCCAGAAAGAGAACTGTGAAGCTATGTTTGTTCTGTGTCTTGCACATTCTGCTGCCATCTCCAAAACGCACAACTTAAGAAAATGCCAAACGTTTTGCCTGTGTCAGGAAGGTAAGCAGAGGCACTGATGTGTGGATAACATCAAAGGTATTATGCCTGTTTTGCCTCCACCACACCTTTCAATATTGGTAAGTTTCTGGCCTCCAAGGTTAAAATATTGTCTGAAATGTTCCAGTTGATCAGAGAACTCAGAAAACTTCATGAGACACACAGACATCTCACACGTCCTTGCATGATAAATGTCATTACAGGGATGAAGACCTCACACACCCAGGTATTCATAAAGAAGGATTTAAGAGATTGTCTCAAACCTTGGATTCATTTTCTACATTGCTGAATTCTCCAGGCAGCTCCAGGTTCATTTCAGAGAAGCCTTGTGTAAGATTAGCTGCTTTGTTATCTAGGAAAAAAAACCAGCACAGATATTTATGAAGAGAAATCCAATATTGGTGGATGTAGCAAAAAGGAGTTTAGCTACAATACAGCGCTTTTTGTATATGAAACACTGTTTCATTGAAAGGAATAATTCCTCCGTACGAGATAGCATCGTCATGTTCAAAGGATCTATTCTGAACATGTCTCCAGTTATTTTTATTATATATATTTTTGTGACAAAGGCAAGGTTTCTGTTTGTATTGGTATTGTGAAACAATGATATCCATGGTGCAAAGATAGATTTCACCTGAGACATTAAAATGAATTTTTCATTTGGAAATCAGCTTAGAAATAAACTGTATTGTAAAAAGGATCTGCAATGTTACTACTGAAGCTCCCATTACAGATTTTTTTTTTTTGTTCCTGAATCACTGATAATAACTCTCAGACCAACTTTCAGAGCAAGGCTGCATTGACAGAGCTTGAAAGTGGAAAAGAGATGACAGATGTTGTACTGCTATACTTTGCAACTGGTCAATTCAATGTGGAGACACAAAGATGGATGTAAACTACCCACTGTTAATTGTACAGAATCTTTTCAGAGATCTGGTCAAAAATGTAACTTTATTTATTGCTGCTTTATTTACTTCTCCTTCTGAATGCCCTAAAACACTTGTCTCCTTCTGTGCAAATCATACACTATTTAATGCATTCAAAACATCCATCTCTACCATGCAACACTCCCGGGCTCTTCAACCATAACGATCTATACAGCAAAAGAAGTCAGAGGTAAAATCCCACACCCAAAAAATTAACATCTCAGCTTTATAAACAGTCATAGTGTCCCATTCTCTTGTCCTCCAAGGGATATTTAAATAGAAAACTTGTTTTTCTTTTCAGGAAAGAAATAATCTTTTTGCTTCTAATCAGAGCAGCCCTTATTTCACTTCCCAGAAAGCACATTAGTCAGTTTCTAGTAAATGACTGACAAAGTACATAGGATTTGCCGATTTTCTCTTGCCTCTTTTATATAAGAACAGAAATCCTTCAAATCTATTTGTGTAGAAAGCAAAAGACCCTTCCCAGAAGACAACAAGGTAAGTGTGTTGCATTAAACCAAATGCTAGAAATTTCCCAGAGGAAGTAAAGGAATGCAACGTTAAACATAAAGGTAATAAAAACAAAACATATTTTCAGAAATTCTTACCATTGATATTAGAACCGACAGATTTGATCGAGGTCTCCTATTTTTTGAGTGGGGGGAATACCATGTTAAAAGTCATTAGTATATACAGTAAGTTTTCATAGTGATTTTAGCAAAACAGGCTTAATACAAAGCTCTTTAAGTATTGAGTACAAAAAATACTGAATTCCTAACAGCAGCAAAGCATTTAATAATGAAATTACAAAAGACTTCCCACTTAGAGCAAATCTCACAGAGCTGGAAACAACTATATTTTCTCTTGAGGATAAAGGGAAACAGCAAAGAATTTTCTTTCCCTTCCAAATGATCCTCTCACTATAGGGGAAGGCAGTCACTATAAACAAAATAAAGGTCCCAACATAGTCCCATATGAATTCTCTTGGATATTCAATTATTTGAGTATAAATTGTTATAACTAGTGATTCTAGTCCTGCCTACAAGACACCTTCTAGCAGTAAGTGTAAATGGTTTATTATACAGCATGGAAAAAGTGTGTAACTTCTCATCATTTTAAAGAAAACTCAAACATGATCATCAGGATTATGGAAACAGTCTCTTAGTCTTTTTTAAAAATTCTTTTAAATCTATGTTTTCTTAAAAAAATTACATTCATTTTCTTACTGTGCCAAGTGCCACGCATGAAGGCTTCCTCAAACCCTCTGCACATGTAGAGCAAATACAGCTCAAAGCAGCAGTAATGCAAACCCTTCTGATACTAAATAGCTCATTTTCCTCAGCTCTTGTCTACTAGAACTTCACTTCTGGGAAGTATCCTTAGAAAGATCACTGGTTCTTCTCATTCAGAATTAGGTTAAAACTCCCTCTCTTCCTCTCCTTTTCCCCAAAAAAGAGATCAGTTATAGCCCTGATAAGTTTCCTAATCTGATTCATCACGCAGCTGCAGGAGGGGTTTAACTGATCAAGGACTGGCACATTGAGAAAATGGGACCACTTCCTTTAGCAGCAGCAGCTTGAACTGATCATCAAAGGACGGCATTAGCCATTAGAGATAGTTTAGCGTTGATCAGCTGAAACTTTAAAAATCAGCACCAACTGACTGACCCATTCTCTAGAAGGCACCTGTCTAGCTTTTTCTCTCACTCATTTCTCTTCCTAACATTATTTTTTTCCCCAATTGCACATGACCAATAGTAGTATTTTTGACTTCCACTATTTGATACTATATGCAGCTGTATTTCTTACATGCTGAACAAATATGCTTGTTCCCCTCCTAAACGAAGTAAGAAGATTTAGCAAAAAATCTCACAGCCAGTACGGTTTCAAAATAAAGGCAAGAAAAAACCACAACCCCCCAAACCACTAAAACCCAAGTTGGCAGTATGTACTCCAGCGTACCTGTGGGGAAGTGAATACTCTGATGTCTCCAGTGTGAGACAGTGAAGACTCCTTGACTGGCAGAGTGTTCTCCTGCTGAGGTAGAGACACTAAGAGCAGAAAGAGACAAAATGAGAGAAGCCAAGTGCCTTTTAGTTAAACCAGTATGAATCTGCACATTAGGCAAATGTGGACCTATACTTACTGAAAGATGTATTAAAATAGAAAGCAACTTTGAAACACTCAGAAAGCATGGGGGAATGGAACTCATGAAACACTGAGTGCCCTTGCACCTACTGGGGAAACTTAGCTTTGTACTTCCCAGAATTTGTTTCCCAGTGCTTAAATAAACGGAAATAGAACTTTTTCCCCAGTATGCTTATAGTCACTCCACAGGACATTAAATGAAGGAGTATTACAAACTGCAGTATAACCCCTGATAACATGAATCACACATCTAACAACAAAGCCTACCACGTATCAGACACACATGCACACAGAGTTTGCCTCTCCAGCTTATTAGCAGGCAACTGCCTTGTTGTAGTGTGCATTCATACATCACAAAGTGCCTTTTACAGGACAGTCATCATCATCTCAACACTATTCATGGGGAAATGGAGAAGTGCGACATAACTATAAATAGACTTTCAGTTTCCCAGCCTGTTCGGGATGTGCTGGACGGCTCTGTGTGGCCTCAGATATTCCAGCACATCCATACTGGAATTCAGCTAGGAAGTAATGCAAGCTAGGGACTGTTATGCCAAATTTGGGTGTGAAGATGAACGATCCCACTCTAGCTCCTGTTCCAGCAAGGCACACATAGGACCTTGAGGTTCAGTTGCCCAGACCCTTCTAGTGCTTCCTGCATTTTAGCAAACCTACTCCCTGACTCTGAATTTCTCACCTTTTGCCCTTTTGTAGCAGTTTACTGTTTCCACGAGATCAGGCGAAACATTCATACAGACTTCCTCCAGCATCTGTACATTGTTTTCAGTTAAAAGGCCCTGTTTTTCCAATAAAATCAGCAATTCCAGAGCAGACTGACAGCCAAAAAGAGAGTAAAACATAGTTATTGTTCCTTAGAACTCAAAAACCTGCCTCAGCCCTGTCTGCTTTGCTTCCTACCAACAAGGTCCAAACAGTCAATTTTACATCACTGTGGGAGGTGGAAATGTTGCTCCACAGAAAGCTACTGGTTGCGTTATTATTTGGTATGGTCACATTTAAACAGATTCACCCAAACCATATTAATGACTCTTGGGTTCAAGAAGGCTTTATTGCTGTGAAACGGTACTAATGACATACGGACATGAATCTCCTTTGCATGTGGCTCAAGCAAGGCGAAGATTTGATTTGTCACCCTTTTATGATCTAATGCAAGACTGTGGACTGCCAGTAATTGACCTTGGCACAAAGCACCAAATTCCACATTTACCTGTCAACAGCTTCCTCCTTGCTAACCTTATAAATACTGACGAGCCTAGTTACAGATTATGCCCTATTCTGCCAAATACTTTTCTCTTCACGCTTTTCCTCCTATTTCCCCCCTCCTTCTTCCCTTCCCGCCATATACACATTTGGCACTCTCCTCACATACAAGAGTTATCCGTCGCTTTGGAAGACAGTTTTGCAGGAGGAAGATGATATCCTTCAACATCTCATTGGTAATGTTCTCTGACAATTCATACAGCATCTGCCTGTAACAGAGATCCAGTGAGATAAAAGCGGAACAGAAGACAGTGTAGAAACGATAAGCAATCTGAGAATTTAAAAACGGAAACAGTGTGGCATAGATGGCAGTAATGGAGAGAACAGAATCCCACTGCAAGCTTACCTGTACGGAGACACTCTTCCCTTCTCATGCAGACATTCTTGCACTTTCTCCTTGGTATAACCAAGTTTCTTGAGCAAGGAGTGACATTTAATTCTGTATAAGAGTTCAGCTAGTAGGAAAGTATCTTCCTCATTCAGATATTCTTCAGCCATGAGAAGCTGAAAGATGTCCACTGCTGACTTCACACTTTCTAGTTTTTTGAAGGGGAGCAAGTCAATACAGAGAAATTTTAAAGCTGCTACATCTTCAGCCACCAGATTTTCGTCAATGTGCAGAAGCTGCTGACGGAACTTCAAGCTGACATCATCCTCCATGTTGCTGGAACCAATAGTCTCTGCCTGAAAGTAGAAAGCAAACGCTAGTAACACTTGAATCTTCAATACAACAAACCTTGTAATAAGATTTCATCCAACAGCTGTTTGGAAGCCCTGAATTCTCTGCAGAAGAGGAGTTTCCTTTTAAATAAATTTGAAACTTACTTCCTTCTCCAAACACAAGACTACAACAAAGACCAGATTTGGCAGAAGCTATGAACAACCCAGTCTAAATTTGAAGTTAGCCCTGCTCTGAGCAGAAAACTGGGCTAGGTGACCTCAAGAGGTCCCTAAGTTCTTCTATTTCTTGCAAACATCTTCCACATTCAGATCTTTGCTTCTCTCCACCATAGGTGGCAAGAGTCCCTGCAGTAACTTATTACAATTCTCAGTGGAGAGAGCACAGTGGTTCACACATACTCCTTGATCTGCAGTCCAAGGGCTCATTCTTCTCTGGCTGTAGCAGGGAGGTGTTCCTCTGTTACAAGCCTGACACGCAAGCTGAAGCTGTGGAATATCCATCCTCCCCCAGTCATATCTTGCTACCAGACTGTGTTTCACATTTGGCAATGGAAAACCTTAAAGCCTCCCTTATAAGTAAATGTCAACTAAAATGTAATAGCGCTCAACGCTTAGTCTAAATAGGCACAAGCAACTCAACCTTACTGAAGTTTTAATAGAGACTAATCACTCTTCCACTACACCAACTTCTTCCATGTAGCCTAGGCAGTTCTTTTCTGCCTGTGGAAGGTTATACAGGTAAAAAGGTGCTTCAGTGCCTTCTGCCCACATGGGCAGGTAGGTCTTCAATCTTTTGTTTAGAGCAACTGGAAGCAGCAAAGCTTTCTACATGAGGGAGCACAAGAAAAAATCAGGGAAACGGAATAGAGAGACAGAACCTCCGAATCCAAAGTCTTTGAAGCATCTGGGAGGACAGCTCAGCAGATAAACCACAGAGGATATCATAGCACCTGGGGGCACAGAGAAGAGACACATGCGTTTTGTGTTCAGAGGCAGACAGAAAATATAATCCTCAAGTCCAGATGCCCAGTTAGGAAACGAGGTTCGACAGAACCCAGGAATCCTGAATCGTGTCCTGTCCCTCACAAGTCAGAGTATGTGCAAAAAAAAAGGTCAGATTGCTTTTTCCTGTATTCAAACTTACTCTCCCATAGCTCAATAATTGTTCTTCACATTCCTTCTCTCCTCATATGAAATCCCATGTATTGTGACACTCTCTTCACTTAAACTGCTATCAAAAAGGTTCAAATCTCAGCCTGTTATCTACACATGGAAATTATACCACTTTACAGTAAATCAAACTTTAAATTCATTTAGCTAAAAGCTACTTTAAAACCCTATCTAGATGCTTTAATCAACTAAATTTAGCAGAATAACTTAGGTTAAACTGATTCCTGCCTAAACTAACAAGCCTATATAATTCAGGTTCAAACTGAATTATGACAATTCAGAATTTAGAGGTCAACGATTTCAACTAAATGAGTTAAAAAAATCATTGCTTTATGAGAACAGGGACAAGTTGTGTGTACACCAGGTGTACACACAAAGCAAACTGAAGCAAGATCCAGCACAAATTCCTTCATCTACCTTTAAAATAGTTTTCAAGTCTGTGTTGCTGCCATTCTTGCAAAGCTTTTTCACTCCGACCATTCCCTGCTCGAGTTTGGAATACCCTCAAGACCTCTCAACACGTGCTGCACTTACTAGGTGTCTGTAACCTCTCTTCCCTGCCCCCTACTGAGGGCAGGATGGGCTGGCCCTCTCTCCCAGCACCACAATGAAAGGAAATACTGCCGGCTCACTGCCTGCTCATCCACTGCTCAGCTTACTGGTATGGTGTTTTTAGAACCTCTACCACTTCATGCGTTTTACAGGCCATTTATAAAACATCACGGTAAAAAAAAAAAGAGTCCTAAAGCAAAGAAGGAAAAGGAGCAAACAATCCCTATTCCAGTAAAAGAAGATGATCCTAAACACCCAGCACTAACACGCGGGGCCCAGGACCTACCAGTTCCCCAGGTTTGCCGCGGCTCATCTTAACATTTACAGCTAGAGCTAGCAGGACATTAGCAGGCAGAACATCGACACACAGAAAGGCGATGGATCAGGGTCTCTAATTTATGTTTTGTGATATATCCTTAGAGAAGGAAAATCACATAAAATAAGCAATGAGGATTATCAAATTACTATTTTTCCCTTTAAAGTTTTATTGATTGGGGCACTGCCAAAC